GTGCTCTGTTAGGAAAGGATGGAACAATAAGATGTTTAATATATGATGGAGCTTGGTTGTTAACAGCTTTGTATGTTAGGAGGAATATTTTAAATTTTAAATAAAATTTTAAACACAAAGAAGCAACATTAAATTTAGTCAGCAATTTCATGATTCAGTGTCTCCTGCTCTGGGCCTTGGAATACGTTTGACTATGGTCACCAGAGTCTCTGGTGCCACGGTTTGGAGTATGGAGCTGCTGGTTATCAGTGTGTTTCTCAGCAGGTGTGTCGCTGAGTGAGGAGAATCGGTTTGAAATGTGAACTGAGAGCTTGGCTTTAGCCTTTGCACTATGCTTACTCACCCATTAGGCCTGGAGTCTGGGCCGCATGAGGTCTGCTGGAGGACCACCACTCTCTGTGGCTCTACACTACCTAAGCTAGCCTGGTTATCTGGTGGGTTTTCAACAGCATACAGCCAATCTTCCAGTTCACTTCAGACAGCCTCACGTCTAAAGCTACATAACATTTATTACATGTATCACTGTCACTAAAGGTGACTAAACAGCTGACACACACAGCAAGTGAGGACAGAAGAAGCCGTAATAGAAGACGTAGCCATACTAATCTAACACTAGCTAAAGCTAGCAGACTCCAAATACACCAATAAAGCCATAAGGTGTCGAAGATAAAATATGTTTCTAACACTATATTGATGGTGTTGAGATCTGTAGAGTCAGGGAGATGAAGCTTTTTGGTGTCATCACTGATGAAAAGCTGACATGAAGAGCTCAAATAAATAATTTAAGAATAAAAATAGCTAAATCTATTGCAGTCCTGTACAAAGTAAGATAGTTATTCAGTGATAAAACACTATGTATGTTGTATAATGCAATAAATGTTCCACACTTGATCTAATGTATTGATGTATGGGGTAAAGCATGTAAAACTCTTACAAATCCTGTTCTTATTTTGCAGAGAAGAGCTATAAGAATTATCAACAGAAAACATTACAGTCACCATCAAATACATTGTTCCATCAGTAGAAGTTATTGAAATTCTCTGATTTGGTTGATTATGGTATTTTATCAGTTATGTATCGGGCTCATAAAAACACTTCACCTTCAAACATCCAATTAAGTCTTAGACTGTAATTAAGACACTGGACTTGTGTCCATGCTTGTCCTGTAAGGATTCAATGATTCAAGGAAGTTGTCATTCACAACACACATACATGGGGTGGAATGAAATTTTGTACCCAAGTTCCTGGTCTATCTAAAAATATAGACAAAAGAAAATAAATATTCAGTGCTTGGACCACTCCTCTTTACTTTGTATATGCTTCCATTAGGTAAAGTTATTAAACAGCATGGGATAAATTTCCATTGTTATGCTGATGATACTCAGTTATATTTATCCATGAAACCTGATGAATCCAAACAGTTATTTAAACTATGCTGTAAAAAATGAAATGTTGGATTTACTTAACCATGTTATGTGACCTGGTTCCACTTAACTGAGTTGAGTAAATCCAAAGCAATATACCATTTTTTTAACCAAAGAACATGAGCATTTTACTTTGAATTTACTCAACTCGGTTAAGTGGAACCAGGTCACATAACATGGTTAAGTAAATCAAACATTTCATTTTTAGAGTGAAGCTGACTTTTAGATATTTCCTGGGAGTAGTCAGCAAAGTGAAATAGAGATCAGGAGAGTAAAGCTGAATAACTA